ATGTAACAAGCAAATGTCATAACAAGTGTAGGTCAAAAGAGTATAGAAACAAACTTAATGGAATAAACCCAAGAAATGGCCTACTGGATATATACAAAAAATGTTACGTCCTTAGAAATGGTGAATGATGGAGTGAGTTTGGCGTTCAATCCTTTATAAAAAGATAGTTCCTACTCACAGTAAGTTGTTCCGCAACAATCCGGATTTCGAGCCCTTTAGCTCATCATCAGATTGAAGGACCTCTACAACTTGATGATGAGTTAAAGGGCTCGAAATCCGGATGCAAAACAACTTACTGTGAGTAGGAACTATCGTTTTATAAAGGACTGTTAGATCCTTGGCCAAATATGGACCCCTAGTGTCTGGGGCCAAAAACTCTGGAAAAAATACATAAAAAACAATTACAAAAATTACAAAGTTTGACATGTCTTAACACCCCAGGGGTAATGCATATTTGCCCAACTCCAGGAAGGAACTGTGTTTGTCACAGATATCTACATTCAGAAAATAGAAATTTCAGGCCTCATCTAAGAGAATGCTATCATAAAACGTTAAACAATAAAATAAATGCTTACAATGACGTCTGACAAAATTAAAACAAAATAAAACTTTGTCACACCCTTTCAAATAAAAATAGAAACAAAATATTTGGAAGACTAACAACCTCAAAGTTAGTAGAAGGGCCTTGCTATGGTATAAAGATAAATCCGAAATGAAACAAGAAGGAAAGGCGCAGGGAAGCACAAATTTTGACCCAGCAAAATCTCTGGATAGACATGATCACTATTCCAAGCTGAGATCCATGCAATAGAATTCTGTGCTCAAGAAATACTAAAAAAAAGTAGCCTGAAAGGTGAATGGATATAAATATTTTCAGACAGTGATGCCGAAGTACTCTTTCAACTCAAAGCTGGTATGGGAATACCTAAAATAACTCTGACCCGAGGGAAAACGAAATCAATAATTGTGATATGACTGCCAGGACACGAAGGTAGCAAAGGCAATGAAAAGACTGACAAAAATCAAAAGAAATCACACCTTTTGGACAAGAACCGCAAATCGACACAGCCTGCTAAAAGCGTTACTGAATGTATGGACAACATACTGGAATTCACCAACCAAAGAAGTTTCTAACCCTCTCAATGAGGAAAACAAAAATCAACCTCTTTCTCAACACGCATAAATTGAGGAAAATAATCATCCTATATATGACCAATGCCCACTTAATTACCATCTTTAAAAAATCCATGAATGAACATAGACATCGGAACATTTTTTTTTTTATGTGGCTACGAACCACTTGGTAAATGTGATATTAACGCCTAAGGAAGAAGAGGCACCCCTCCTTAAGGATAGCGCCCTCTCAGAAGTTAATTCATTTAATTCTATAGTAGAATATTATATCTATTGAAAAAAGAGAGACTACAGTGACCAGTGAACCCGGAAGATAAAAAATAATAAAGTAATGTGGGAAATATCACATAAAAAGCAACAGAGACTATATGAATCACTGATTACAGAAAGGGGACATGTCCAAAAACTAAATTTTACAGGAAAGGCAAAAAATGTTTTAATGAGGTATTTTCTTTCTAAAATTTTGAATAAATAACAGGAACTCAATTAGGGTATTCTACAAATGTATTTTGAGGTTTTACTCAAATTTATCAATGCTTGTGAGCAGGGTAGCCACTTTTGTGTTGTGTACATGTCTCTGTTCTGCTCTCCTTTTGTTGTGGAAAAGGGATCATTTTCTACAAGAAATGAAGTTACCGCCTCGAAAATATTTAAAACAATTAAACATGCATTGTAAAAAAAAGTTTCAAACTCAATTAAAGTAAAAATATGAAACCCTAAAGAACAATAGGCCAAGCGTAAAATGAACTTAAAAAAGTGTGAACTGCCGTTTGTGGGATGTACTACTTGAGGCTCTTCGAATACTTCATTTTTCCAGCATTGACTGGCATCTTTGACGTGTAGAACTCTGCAGTTGGTAGACAATGTTAGGAGTATTTCCCTTCCTCAGCTGGAAATAGGCTACTAGGCCAACAATGAACTCAGACGTTTTAATAGTACCTGGTGCTCGAGATACCTCAAAGTAATGGCCTGATGAAACCATTTTTGGTAGTTTTTTTTAATCAATGTCGATTCAATTAACATTACTCTGAATTTATTAGGATTGTTGGAAGCAGTAACGATAGTGTTAATGAACTTGTCCAGGAGTGTACATCCGTTCGATTTTATCCAGTTTTCTTTTTAAAAGAAAATCTCGGTCGCAAGGGAGAAAAGAGTGTCCTCGCATTGAAAAATACACTTTTATTTTATTATGTGTATTATGTCCGGACAAGACTCCTTTTTGCGCTCAAGGCGGATTTGAAGCCCCGTTTTCTTCCATACCCAATCAACTGAAATGTCTCATTTTAGCACCAAACATAGCTCTATTTGTAGTACAGAAGATAGAGGGAAAAAGTAAAAAAAAAAGAAAAATACAAAAAACAACATGAATTGTACAGAAACGAATTCTAATCCTAAAAATAAAACGCGAAAGTGCGAGATTTGAGAGACGTAATTTGAGGAAGACGTTTTATTGCAAAGGAGGCTGGAAAATCATGAAAAGTGGCCGAGACGTCGTGGAGCGCACGTTGTCGGCCGTTTTCACTGAAAATGAAATAACTTTAAAATTGATTTATAATTTTTATATAAAGTGTGGTTGAGATGAAAAATTAGTGTCACGAGCGACTTGAGCTATCGTCACCGTGGTTCGAGTCCTGCTCATGACACTAGGTTTTTCATCTTAGTCACACTTTACATAAAATTATAAATCAATTAAATCACTTTTAATTAGGCTCAACTAAAACATCTTGTAGATTAATATAACTTTCAAATGTTGAAGAGCTTCTGTGTCACAATCTGTACCGCCCGGGTGAAAGCACACTGGGCGACCATATCAACGTCCAAGCTCAAATCTGTGCTTCCGCGCTCACGAGCAGCGGACGTGACGCTCTTTCTCCGTGTCCCGCCTTTCTCAGTGGGACGAAAAAAAGCGAAATATCGGGCCCTTCTCGTGTCAGAAAGCGGTTTACTGTTATTTTCGGGACCCGTCGGGTTTGGACCTCTCCACTGGAAACGGCACCCGTAAATCGCGTTTACAGGGTTATTTGTCTAAATAGTTGATCGTTAACAAAAAATTATGGTACTTGATTCCTTCTCGTTGATGCACTACAGCCTTGGATCTTGGAATCCCCGACTTTCCTTCTGGTTTTGTATCCTGACATGCAATTAATATTTAGCGTCCTCCGCTGACTGCACCTCACTATTTCAACCAAACATAATACCAAGAAACTAGATAGCGATATATTCAAACATAAAAGAACCACGTCTATTAACAGCGAGTACATTAGAATTTAAGGAGTCTGGGGGGAAAAACGCTCATTAGGAACAAGTAAAAAGTTAATTTTCTAGAAACGCACGCCACCGTTACCACCTACTTATGCAGTCTGACACACTACCACAAATGACTTCATCACAAATGATCCATATTAAGCCTTTGTTACCTATCAGTAAATCAATTCAATGGACTCTTTTAAAAATAAGACATTGGATGATTTGCTAGTAGAAATGAAGAAAAATGTCTAATAGAAAAGAAAAAACAATCCAAAGAATAAATAATTGGATCGGAACATCTTTCAGATTTTGCTGTTACGACGTAAGGGCACGTTCTCACGGTTCAACTTTTGTTGTTCAACTTTAGTTGATCAACTAAAATTGAACGAAATCTGTCGTCAGAATCTTCCGATCGACAGAGTCAACTGAACTAGTCAAATATTTGTCGTAACCCCACAGACTAGCTTTGACGCGACTTGATAATAAATATAAGTTACGTGTGTTGACTAAACGAGAGTCTTTTTAAAAAGAACTTTATTAGTTAAACACAAGTTATAATTTGAGAAGAACCTTTCCTGTTCACGGATATGATTAATCTAAATCTATCTTTACAAGTGTAAAAGGAATAGTGAACAGGGAAGGGTTTATTGCTTACAAACATTCTTCGAATCTGTACAGACGCAACATCATATGTCGCTGAACTAAGGGTTTTGTGCAGGCGTAACTTATATATGCCACAGAAAATTATATGATAGAAGAAGGAAGTTGCCAGACTTGCTACTGCTGTTTAAGAAAAGAAAAGAAAAAAAAACAGGCGAACAAAAACTGATTTAAGTCACACTTGATTTACAAAAATTGAGTTTGCACAAATCGTTGATGTAAATGTAAAACAAGGTCGGACCCAAAACCGACCCTTGGGCGACCATGTTTATTTTCGTATATTAAGACAAAAGAATCTCCTATTTGATAAATAATTCCTTATTAAATCAATTAAATATTTTGGGAATTTGTAAACTATGTACTTTGATTTATCTATCTTGTATTTTTTGTAACTTGTTTTATTAAAATTTTTCATATACAAAAGGACTGCTATAATATAGATAAATGAAACTACCGCCTATCTGTAAGCAGTCCTTTTTATAAATAAAGAATTTTAAATAAAACGAGTTACAAAAAATAAATGTAGATAAATGAAACTACCCTACATCCATAAAAGAAGAGGAATAACAAGAAAAAACAACATTTATGTAAAACTTATTGTATGAGATTAATTTAAAAATTCTAGCCTTGACAACAAAAATAAAAAAAATTACTATATGAAATGCATGTATGACCCGTGATCAACTATGGTGATCCAGTGTGGGATGTGCAAAACAAACTATGGAAAGCGAAAAATGGTTGTTGTTTATTACAAACTTAAAGACTGAAGTTGCAAGACTAAAAGATTTGGAAAATTCACTTGACTGTTTATCACTCTTCAGGCTGATATGTTAAAAAAAATAAAAACTTATTGAAAAAATAAACAACATTGTTGCTGCAGTTTATTATTTATTACAACCCAAAATTTATGGATTATTTTATGCTCTGTATTTATTTTTTTGTTTGTTTTATTTTTGCAGTAATCAATGTAGCTGCCGGAAAAGCACCAATGCAGATTAGTTCTGAGGATACTGGTGTACCTCAAAAGGCCATAGATGGAAGTACGACTTCATTTTTCAACGCTGACACTTGCACTTTAACGCGGCCTGAGAGAGTACCATGGTGGTATGTCAATCTGCTTGAACCTTACATGGTTCAGCTTGTAAGGCTGGACTTTGGAAAGCCCTGTTGTGGTAAGTTGTGCCAAGTTGATATCCAAACTGTTTTACTTAGACTGACTTGTGTTTTTAAAGGTAAAAACAAACCGGCCACCATCGTTGTGAGGGTGGGCAACAACAGGCCAGATTTAGCGACGAATCCGATTTGCAATCGTTTCACCGGCTACTTGGAGGAAGGAAAACCGTTGTTCTTACCCTGCAATCCACCCATGCCAGGCGCTTTCGTCAGCGTGCATTTGGAATCTTCGTCGAACACAAACCAGCTTTCCATATGCGAGGCATTTGTCTATACGGATCAAGTATGACCGAATATCCAACTAACTTTAACACAAGATAAAATGTTATTTTCTTACCCTTAGGCACTTCCGATAGAAAGGTGTCCACAATTTAGGGACCAACCGCCTGGTAGCACCGCAACTTACAATGGGAAGTGCTATATATTTTACAACAGACAGCCTCTACCACTGAGAGACGCTTTAAACTTCTGCAGGAGCAGGGGTGGATCTCTTGTCGAAGAGAGCAATCCTGCACTACAAGGGTTCATAAGTTGGGAACTTTGGAGAAGGCACAGGTGATTCATTCATTCCAGTTTTAGGACAGACCTAAAATTAAGGGTACTCTAAATAAAATTTATATATTTTCAGGAGTGACTCGAGTAGCCAGTATTGGATGGGAGCTGTGAGAGATCATAAAGACCGAAACAACTGGAAATGGATCAACGGTGAAGATGTTACTGTTTCATTTTGGAACCTTCCTGGTGGTGAGGAGGACTGCGCTAGGTATGACGGATCCAAAGGATGGTTGTGGTCAGACACCAACTGTCATGCCAAAATTAATTACATCTGCCAACACCGTAAGAAACTCAACAAAACTATTCACGTATAATATTTGACTATTAAATATTTTGTTTTTATCCAGAGCCTAAAGCTTGTGGAAAACCGGAGCAGCCGCCTAATTCTACAATGACGGCTGAAAATTTCAATGTAGGAGCTAAAATCGAGTACACGTGTGATGAAGGACATTTGCTTGTAGGGCCGAATTCGAGAATATGTCTTCCAACAGGATTTTACAATGAATTTCCACCAGTTTGTAAACGTAAGTGAACTCAATGACAAAAAAAATGTATTTTGTTTATTTTAAATTATATGTGCATTTTTGCCATTATACTAATTAAATTTATTAAATGTAAATCAAATTAAACAAAATCATTTAAAAGAAAATTCAACAAAACACTGGAAAATCAATTAGTGATAGAATAAAATTAACTAACAAGTTATTACCTGGTTTTGCTATTAATAAAGCATTAATCATAACATATTATTACAATTTTAAATATTATTGTAAAGATATTTACGTCAACGATGTGGGAGATGGGTTTCAAAAAATTTCTAATTCTATCGGTATTATGGTTATAGGAATCCAATGCGGTTACCCTGCCGATATAACAAATGGTGATTATCAGTTATTAAATGGCACTGTTGGGTACTTGAGTCAAGTACTTTACAGTTGCAATGAGGGCTATAAAATGACAGGACGAGCCCAGCTGACGTGCGATCTGGATGAAAGGTGGGATGGACCTCCTCCAAGATGCCAACGTAAGACAAAATTTCACATTTTATGCATGTTCCGTTCACCGAAAATATTATTTAACTGTTTTTGTTTTCCACTTAATTTTCAGCTATACTATGTGGGGAACCGCCGATAGTGGCAAACGGTGACATGTTCTTATCCAACAACATTACAATAGCCGGAACAGTTGTTGAATACTCTTGCATATCAAAGAAATATAAACTAGTCGGTCCGAAACAAATTACATGCCTTGATTCCGGAAATTACGACAAACCGCCTCCAGTGTGCAGAGGTAATTTTATTATAATTAATAGGATTTCAAATTGAAAATTGAAAATTGTACTTATTGATTTTTCAGAGGAGCCAAGAGGTGGAATACTGTCGAGCCTACTTCCAAACCGTCCGTCTACTACAAGCAGGTCTCCCCCTAGAGAAAAACCAAGACCTTTTACAACAAGACCTTCACCGAAGCCAATAACACCCGATGTCGTGCTTGACGATAACAAACTTAGTGAAACAAAGCACATCCCACACATTGTACTAGCGGGTCGCCCTCAAAACTCAGATATCACTGAGACCACCAAAAACGACCTCGGGAGAAATGGTGCCGACATTCCTGGGCACACCGCTCAAGAAGAGAGAACAACTCTTGGGGCCAAACTTAATTTAGGTAATATTATTTAATTAGAAAAAAAAAGTGAAATTTTCTGATAATTATTGTAATATTTAGGTGCAATTATTGCTCTTGGAATATTTGGGGGCTTTGTCTTCCTTGCTGCTGTCGTCACAACTGTAGTCATACTGATCAAAAGGTAAGTCTTAGTTACATTATGCGCCTTGCAATTTAGATCATTTGACTGCTTAGATGCTTTGAAAACTTATTTGTCAAAAGCTACTTATTAGCGTGAATCTCTATTTCTTCATCTACAATAACTTTTGCTTAATAAAAATATTTCTTTCTATTATTTGTTTTAACAGAACCTAGTAGAAGTAAAGGTATCAGGTATAAAGGTGAAACTAACTTTGTGATTTTTTTTACTTTCTGTTTCATTTATTTTATTAAATGTTTTCTTTGCCTTTCAAATACTGACTTTCTGTCTAATTTGACACTGATAACCTTTAAGCTAAAAATAAAATAGCTATGTAGAATCTCAGTTTTTATTAACAATGACAAATCTTGGAAAATAACGTTTTTTTATTGAACTTTATCAGTCAAGATTTGAAAAGCACTAATTTAAATTTAGCCTACAATGGTAGCACTTTCTTATTTTGTTAAAATAATTTGTGATTAATTGTTTTCTAACCAACCAACAAATTATCTGGACCATCATATAACAAATAACGTTCATTAATCCAGTATAAGTAGTTAGAGCATTGTGAAAAGTGTAGTTTTTTAATACTTACAACTGCATGAATAGCTAAAAAATATCCTAGTTGTTTCAAGGTGGAAACATAAGACATTTAAATAAGATATCGATTCAGTAAACTTGCATTACATTTGAAATAAATGTTCCTTTTACATTGGGAGGCAAAAAAATATCTTGGAAATATGTCTTTTTCTAGCAATATATTCTATTATATCACATAATAAAATATATTATTTAGTTTTAAACTAAAAAAGCTTTGCTCTGATTTTCTATTTTCAAAATTTTCTATTACATAGCACTTTCCAAGCGCTGACTGGGTTCCTCATTAAATTTACTTAGGTTACAGACTCTCTGATCTCCCACATGATGTTAAAGAGGAATTTGGAATTCTATCAGAAATGTTTATACACGAAAAAGCTCATTTAAGCTCCAAAAAACAATCAAATTGGATGGGAACTGAACACTTCGGGCCTACAATAATAATTAATAAAATCAAACACCTATTCTCAGAAATGTGGACTGACTTCATGATCCTAGAAATCCTCTTTACAACATTCTATAAAGTCTCAACAGACTACAAATGAGAAGAAGAATACAGGAAGAAGCCAGATTCAATGGTATGGTACACAGATGGCTCCAAAACAAATGAAGGATCAGGCAATTTCTGCACAACTCATTACAGAAGTACACCTCAGTCTTTCAAACTGAAATATTGTTTGTTCCTAAGAAAATCTTTAAAAAATCCTCATAAGAGCAGATATTCAAGCATCTGTTAAGACACTAGCATGTAAAAAAATCAAATCAAAATTAGTCAATACTCCAAAACTTGGGAAACACAATAACCTGATGATATCATGGTCACGAACAATTTGAATCAAGATATGGTTTTGAAGAATAAAGCAAATTCAGTTGTTACTGCCAAGCTTTCGACCTATTGTTAGGTATTCTTCAGGTAATCATACTGTTACAGTCCAATGTTAGCATAGAATTGGTCTTCAAGGAAATTTAAGATTGCTTGTAAAAAAATTGAAATATGTCAATTTGTAGATATGGTCAAGATGGTGACCTTAAATAGCTGATAACTGCATCTGCTTTATTCTTCAGGACCATATCTTGATCCAAATATTTTATGAGTGAAAAAAGTGGCTGATATTTCCAATAGTGAAAACAGATTCTTGTGTATTAGGTCACAAAGGGATTTTCGGTAATGAAAAGGCAGACTGGCTAGAAGAGGATCTGCAAGCCATATAGGCCGTGAACGTATTCTTGACATAACAAAAACTCAGAATCCTCTATCTCAAAATGGATCCAAAAAGACAAAATGAGTAGTGCATAAAACAATAATCTTATGCTAAAACAACCCTTATCAAGACTGGCAATCTCCGAGGAGCGATAGGGATATGTACTGGTCACTGGCATCGAGAAAGCATAACACTTGGGTATTGTCAATGATGGCACAATATATAGGTTATGCAATGAGGAGGAAGAAACAGCCACCTGTATCATCAGATGCAAAGCAACCGCAAAAAAAGAAGGAAAAAAAACCAGAACACTGGGGGAAAAAAAAAAAAAACCATCACACTGAAAAAAAAGCCAGAACACTGCAGTGCTTGGAGAACATAAAACTCCCACTTCCTAGTAACCATATTCATCATCAACATTATACTTTCAAAAAAGCTACAATGAAAAAAAAATATGTTGTACGAGAAGAAATTTGCAATTTGCTTATATTTAATGTAAATTTACATTTGTTAAAATACTAAATGTAGGGGAGGGATTATAAATTAAACAACTATTAAATTTAGAAACTATGAACAATTTCCTACCAAAATGTCCACTAGTGTTGTATGTTTAAAAAGTAAAAAATTACACTCTGTATTAAGCTTTTTTCTATAACACAAAATGTAAACGTTGCCTGGACAAATGATACAAAGTAATCCAGTGAGAACTGGGTTCAGCCAGACGACTCGGTCAGTTTGAAATTTTAAGCCTAATTCAAATCGTGGATAATTTGTTGGTTCCGGTTATGGTAGTTATGCTTTTGAGCATGTTGTTTAGTCAAGTTTGTTTGGGTCGGGTGTGTTACAGTGGGAGGAGGGCAAAGCTGCCTCCTAGTAGAACAATGCCATCTCGTTGGTACACACTCCTCGCGATGCCATTCCCAGATCAGCAAGTTGGAAGGCGCCAGTTTGCAAGGGCCTACCACAGTCGTGCCGGATATTTCTCTAACCCAATTTGACACTCACACACCCCGACCATGTTAGATATTAGGAACTGAATAGTACAAATCTAAAAGGTAAAATGATTTTTTATTTTAATTTTTTTTTTTTAATAAGGCTATTTATTTTGAATTAGCAAGCTTTATTACTCTTGTTTCTTATATCAAGGAGAGTAAAGCGGGTCAACTATGAAATTTTATTTGATTTATTGCAAAGCACAATCTTGATACAGTAATTTTCACAGTAAACATGTTTGGCGGTGTCAGTGTCATTCCTAGTCCACTTTCCTACTCCTTTGTGTTTGTATTTGCACTTCAGCCGTAGCTGCATGAAGCTTTTAAGCACACAGTGTAGTTAAAAAAACTTTTTGGTATTTAATGCATGTTAAGATTTAAGAAAAAAAATTATCTGATGACCTACAAATGGAAATTTGTCTTGAACTATCAATCAACCTCCGACAAAATGAATTTCAACAAATTTTCAAAGCTGTGTCATGTTATGCATGTTTCTTAAATAAAATATAATACGATGTCAGAAATTTTACACTTAAAACAAGCTATACATTAAACAAAATAATGATGTCATTAAATGTTGGCTGGGAAAGATACTGCTCACAATTACCAACAATTACATCTAAAAAAATAAATAAATTAATTAAAAAAATGCACATTTGATATTGCATATTTTGAAGCATGTTCTGTAAAATATATTTTTAAAAATATGCTAACAATATTATTAATTTTTTTAAAACTAGGAATCGTAGTGCCAAACATTATCGCCACAGAGGCTCACCGGATAGTAATACGGTGGCGTCTTTTGACTCATCGGGTTCTGAGTCGAGAGGAGGACTGAATCGGTACTACAGGCAGGCTTGGGAGAACTTACAGCAGTCTGCTGTCAAACCGTCTGCGACTACGGCAAATGGTAAAGAGACTCCGACAGAGCGGGACGGGAGCGAGCTCGTCGTCAGCGATGTGTATAGGCCGCAAGACAAAAAGAGGCATCATCACCATCAACACCACCACCACCATCATGGACATCAACACACCCACGGGCAGCACGACTGGAGGCAACATAAGAACCACCGTTATTAAATACCGTTTAGTGCTGATTAAATTCATTAATGGCTGCTCACAAAAATATGAAATTAATCCCATTTTAAACTGATGTCTATATCTTCATCATCAAGCCTGCCTAATGACACAAATGTTACCAAATTCTTAAACATTCCCAAACTTATCAAATATTAGCAATATCGGTTCGAAATGCGTATTCCAAAATGTATATATGCAAAAAGTGAGCAGCAGACTCAGGCTATATAACATGTCAAAATGAGATAAATCTGACTGATTTTAGAATTTTTATTTTTTTTAAGAATCCCAATATTTATAACTAAATATAAATGTGATTTAATATGAACTAAATTTTTTGTTAAAACAGATTTTTTGAACACTTTCAGGGCTCACTTTTTTTTTTTTTTAAGTTAATATGATACACCATTCCAAGATAATATATATGGTTTGTATATATGAAAAAAACAAGAAACTAAAAGTATAGCCAAAATTAAATTCAATGAATTCCTTAGCCTGATTTTAAATGTTACATTTTAAAATTTGGCTGAAGAAATTCTTGACTGACCTACTAATTAGTGAAACTTATGTGTTATGTTGCACAATACAAATGTACCCACCTATAAAAAAATATATATAAAAAATTGCGGAAATTATTTTGATAATTTTATTGATTTTTTTAGTAACAAAACTTATTTATGAAAAATAGATGTTATCGAATGTGATTCTTTAGAGAAGTGGAGTATTTATAAATATAATTTTTTTTAAATAAATTTGTTGTAAATAAGAATGTTGTATTTAGGATATTTAATTATCACTATCACTTGTAATTATGTACCTATATTTAATTAGAGAAATATATTTTAACAGTGTTAATTTTGCATTATTCGTTATTCTCATTCTTAAAGCCCACAAACCTCCCACTCAGACCTATAAGCATTCTTCCTTTAATGTACAAAATCCATGAAAAATTCCTTTAATAATAAGCTTAATACCCATCTTAGATACTCGTGTGCTAGAAAATAAAGCAGCACAGGCTATCGGTAGGGTCTGGCACCACTAACGCTTCCTACCCACTTCTTATTACATTACCCTGAAAGCCTAACAAACCGCTGCTCCTAAGTGAGGTGTGGCGATGAGTTCTGAGAAGTAAGATACAAGCTGGCATCCCACAAGGGAGCATCCTTGGTCCCATTCTTTATATAATTTAAAATGCTCTTACCTATACACTCACCATCATCACCATGAATTTTGTCTTCTAATTCAAATCCTATCCAAGCTGCCTTCAACATCCAAGAACACCTTGAACTTATCAGAGGTCCAAAAAGTGAAGGACAAGACTGAATGAAGAACAAGATTTTATGCATCTGCTTTGGATATATGGAAAGTGTTTCTGCCAACCCATCCAACATCCAGCACACCCAATCCTTCAAATCAAAAGTCCTCAGACGAATCACCAACGCTGTTTACTTCGATACTAACCTCACTATCCACAAAGACCTCAACATTCCTTTTCTCAACAAACTGATGCCTTCCCAATACTAACAGTTTCACACCAGCTTCTTGATCCAAACTGACCCTACTGTTTCAGCCCTCTCATCATATTCCCACCCTGAGAACCCGACACATTGCCATAATGGCCTCGAGATCTTGCCCCTTATTCCCTCACACTAGTGCCAGATTGGCTGGATTCTTACGGCATGAAACCATGCAGTTCTGGCATTACAATTCAGTTGTTTCTGCAAAACCCTTGTCTCCATTTATTAATTTATTAATTTTGTAAGGTAAATGATCCTTGCTTTGTAAAGACGCATAAACATAAGACACGGGAATAGGCTTAATGATGGGTATTTTCCAAGCTGAAGAGAAGATTAGAAGCAGGGTGTATCACTGGTAGGCAGTTGCAATTAAATTACCATTTAGCCCATTGTGACCAGTTGTGCAAGATTTCTTTTTTGCAATAAGGTTAAATCATTGTTGACTAGTTGGAAATAAAAATTTGAGCTTGAAATCCCTCATTATTTCTAACCAACACTTCAGAAGTTTTGGATTGTTTGTTGGTGGAAAAAAAAACTGATCAGGAAAGTGTTAAAGGCTTAATTAACAATGAGTCAAGAAGTACCTCTTGATGATGATAATAATCATCTATTATGATAGATGATAATAATCATCTATCAAATCATATTTAGACTATCCAAAGGCTCAACTAAATGAATGCTGATTTAAAACTATTGAGCTGAGCATCAAGTCACCACATCAACAAAGAGATCCATTTGAGACTCTGAACTATTAAAATTCGTAGAACTCTTGTATTGAATGTTTTAGTTTGTAAGTGTTATATTAATTATTTTTAAAAAAATTCGGTCTCTCAAACTGAAACCCTGACTTGTAGAGTCAGTAGTAACTTTGCAGAGAAAAATAGAGAATATAATTGAAAAAACAGTTGTGACAAAAAATTCAATGATCCGGCAAGAAGTGATTGTAATGAAAGAAGCGCTGGCACCACTGATTACTAATAGGAATCCATGTGGATACGTGTTACTTAATATTGTAAATTAATTTAAAAATTTGGTAAAAATTACCTTTAAAATTTCTTAATGCATTTATGTTTAGTGGTCCAATTGACCATATTAATTATTTCAATTAATTATTCTTTTTATGTAAGGTCTTGGTTGAAATGAAAAAGTTACGATCAAGTCACAAAGCTCAAATGGTTAAAGCAGTGGCGTATTGAGCCGAAGGTCATGGGTTCGAATCACGCTCATATCACTAACTTTTTCACCTCAACCAAGACCTTACATAAAAAGAATAATTGATTGGTTTGCCAAACAGTAAAAATAGATATGTGTAAACAGTAAAAATGTAGAAAAACAATTCTTACTTTATGAAAGGAGTTGAAGGGGGCGTCGGTGGTCATAATGGTTTAGGCGTTGACACAGCAGTACCAACTGTAAGGTAAAGGTCCCGGGTTCGAATTCAGGGCAGCTGGATTCAATCCCAACATACTTACATGTTTTTCTTTTTTTCAAAAACATCGACAATCCGAGGGTTGATATAACCTCTGCTGTTGTGAATCCTGTTGCGAAAAAAAAGTGTTAAAAAACCTTGTAGAATTAAACATAAAATTTCTAATCTAAATACAGAAATTAGTAACACAAAGAATTCTGCTTTTCCAGAAACATTGAAAATTGAATATCTCAACATGATCCCCACTTAAGGGCGAGCCCGAACTGTTAGCAAAATTCATCGCTATTTGTTAGAAATTAATTGATACATTTTATGCAACGACAAATCCTGGAGATTTTCAAAATGAGTATTTATTAGCAAGCGATAATTCGAAAATTCAAATGTCAATGACAGAAATAATTTATAACTTGGTGCAAATAATTGGATGGAAATCAAAGGTGCACTATTAACTAGCTATTCTGATAAAAATTTTAAACAGATAAAAAACGTAAAGGTATTTCCACCAAAACTGATCAGGTACTCACACCATTTTTGACATCACAAAAATATTTTGTACACCCAAATCAAAGAAACTATCAACAAGCAAACCTGACGCCAATGTAATATGTATGCTTTTTTGACAAGTTCACTTGTTTAAGAATGCACATATTACGTACATATCTTATGACATTTAAAGTGTTCTGAGGCATACTTCTTAGCACTATATATTTGTTTTTAGAATTAAAAAGATGAAAGAAATTTGGATAGTATGTATGCCAAGGGAATCAAGTAAATCAAAAGAAGACTGAAGAATACTTTTGAAAACTATTTTTTATCTGAGCTTAATTGTGAAACTATATACACCGATGGACAAAATTAACACACCACCCTTACATATTAATGTATTTAAGTTTATTCATATTTTGCATAACAAAAATACATTAAAAAAAAACTTTTTAGTCCATTTTAATACCAAGTATCTCCTGGCACAAATCACATCCATTAAATGTCTTTGCATTCCTTGAAAATGATTTCTGATAAAATCCGGAGGAATTCTTTCCCATTCATCAAGAACAGCTTTGTACAATTTCTAGGGTATTAGGACCTCATGTTTCACAGTCGTACTCATCATTTATGTTGGTCCCAAATGTCTTCAATTGGGTTCAAATCTGGACTTTGAGCTGGCCACAACAAGCACTCAATTCCAACTTCATTCAGGTAGTCATTCACAACACGTGGTCTATGGGGCCTGGACATTATCATGTTTTATCAAGAATATAGAGCAATCCCTCACTAATGTGGGGGCAAATAGCATTATAAGTTCTCTGATTATGTCTTGTAAGTATGTCTGTCAAGTTAGGCATCGTCTTTGTACAACAACCAATTCGGTGGGGTGCTCAAGAAAATCCCAGGACATCAACGGCCCACCATGGAATGGCACCTGAGTAACCATACAGCATGGTATGTACCTTTTTCCAGAGCGTCTCTATGAAATTACGCCTATCTGAAGATTTAAAGCCAACCCTAACATCATCTGTAAAGAGAACTCGTCCCCAATCTTCCAATGTCCAATTCTTGTACGAATTTAAGCCATTTTCTTAGCTGTGGTAAGAAGGTCCAAAAGCCGGGTGCCAGGCCTTGAGGTTATTTTCACTGAGCCTTTGTTTTATTGTCCTGGAGAAAATCGAAACATTTTGAACTTGTCTTATCGGATTTGTCTCTTCTCATTTCCCGTAATACCGCGGTTTTGTAGAGATGATGGATGAATCTATCATCTGTCTTCTGTAAACCTAGTCGATTCTGTCCTGGCTTCTATTATGAAGTCATTTTCTCTGAAGCACTGAAGAACCATTCCTATTGAAGAGTGATGCTTTCTATCCTTTTGTCTGGCAGATGCCATCATTACAAAATAAAACATGATGATCACTATGTTAATAAGGCAGTCTATACAGTACTTAGGTTAACCACTGATGGGCATAAGGAATTGTTAGGGCTGTTATATCTAAAACAAAAGGGCTTAGTGTGCTGACTAACCTACATAACCGCGGTGTACAAGATATGTTAATCGCCTATGTGGACGGATTAAAAGGATTTTCAGAATCCATTTATTTTTCTGCATTCAGAAGCTCAACTTTTATGCATGTTTCGTCAAATTTGCAATAGCCTGCATTATATTGCCAGACTCAGTCTCCTGGCGACTATGCACTGGCTGTATTTTTTCTCTAATAATGTTATTATCCTGGCACTGTCATACTTGCTCAAATGCCTGCAATTGAAAAACTTTAAGAATAAGAATAATATGAAATGAAATCAATGAAGGAAAATGATTAGCTAAAGTGATCTTTAGGTTAGTTACTACCTATAAGTTAAAGGTAAGTTACTACCTATAACTAACCTAGAAATATAGTGTATTTAAATTTAAACTAAATAAATTGAATGGTGCGTTAAATTTGTCCATCAGTGCATTATGTTTTGACTAAAATGAGATTAAGGCAAATGATTTTTTTCCCCTTGGGGTTGAGGTTGATAGCCTTTGCAATACCGGAGCAAACTGTACTGCTACTATTGCCAGAACGACTGAATGCTTAGTTATAATTAATATTTAGAAGTAATAAATACATATTTATAAAAGTAATTATTTTATTTTATTAATATATTTTTGATGCTTGCAATAGTGAAACTATTATTTACTTATTTTTGTTTTTAAATTGTAACGATGACTGGCTGACAACACCCCCTTGTATACGAAATGTATTACTATAATGCAATAAAATTTATATTTTTTTGACAGTCAACAATTTTATTCTTGTACGTGAATTTATCCGGTTGTCAGTGGAGTTGCTAAAATTCATCATTATTATTTAAATATTGATTAAAGGTAATTTTTTTCCTATCACACAGTCCTCAACCTTATTTAGTAGGTACAAATATTACTAATCCGTGCTGTAAGAAATTTGACCTTTGGAGAGGTGAAGGTACTCGTACTTCCTCCAAGAAGCCACGTACTTCCCCACCACCAGAAGAATTACTATTTTGTATTCTTTGCGCAATACTGGCCGCATTCCTGTATTACAAAGGCTCTGATCAATGTAATTATCGATACCTGAACGTGCCGAAGTTTAAAAACATTGCAGTTGAACAAAAAAAATCTTTGACACAATAAAAACTTAATTATACGAATTTAATTTAAAAAAGGCTAGTTTAAATATTTTCAATTGGGTTGTGAGATGATGGAAGTTGATATTAGGAATGAATCGACATCGTGGAATAACGATGTTTTGCTGTATCGATTTCTACCCCTTCTCCACTCAGAGTTTCAAACAACCCGTTTTGACATATATTATCCATATCGTTTATTAGAAATAACTTTACACTCGGTCATTTTCTTTTTGGACAAATGGCTTGATGGAGACTAGCGAGCGAAGGTGTTAGATAGGCGATTTTCCCTTCTGCCAGGGTTTTTTTAAATTTCTATTTGAACCATGCTTCCTCCAAACAGTCAACAAGTGGGTGTTGCTTTGCTGTTATGTCACTGCGTGAAATCCTCTTTTGTGCGATTTGCCTGGTATGACCGAAATACGTGTTTTCAGATCCCGATGCCACCGACCGTCCACCAATCGCCCACCTTGGAAGGACTTCCCAAACAATTCGTCGACGCCCTGAGGACGTTGTTCGACATCCTAGACGAGAAACAAGTCGGTTTTGTCAAGCTGACAGGTAATAAGACAAGAGTTTGATTGGCATTGGTAATTAGACTAATTATGAAAAATTGTAGATATTGAACACCGGTGGCAGGACGATGGGACTAAAGGGCTTCCGAAAGGTGTCATAGAAAGCTTGCGCAAAGTCACACCGCCAAACGGGCTTCTGTCTTTTGAAAGGTTCTGTGCTGGGCTGAAAATCTGCCTTCTTCGAAATCAGGTATCGGCTATTATGTTTACCGCAAGCAGATTGGCATATGATGCAATGAATAGTAGTTATGCCATGCAAGACATCCAATCGGACAGGCAGGCTACCATTAAAGACCTTGGAATCACCTACTTTAACAACCTGATATATATATATATTACGCTGGGTGGGTGACCAAGACCCGAGGGTTAAATGCCTGGATAGACTCGTACCCCATCCCTAAAAGGTTCAGGACTTGGTGGGCTCACATGTCCTGCATAAATCTCTTGGACCTGTTTACAAATCCCAAGATTTTGAACCAACCACCTAGCATACCTATCACACTCTACGAGGTAGTGCCTTGCCGTTTCTTCTTTTATTTTGCAAAAACGGCAAAAGGGATCTGGTAGAATACCCATTATGGAGAGGTGTCTTCTCAGTGGGCAGTGGCCTGTCAGGATACCTATCAGCCTCCTAATTCCCTTCCTTGAGATACAGAATAGCCATTTTGAGGGGCGTCGGTGGCCGCAACGGTTTAGGCGTTGATATGGTGCTCATCACTGTAAGGTAAAGGTCCCAGGTTCGAATCTAGCGGCCCTGTATTCAAACCCGACATACTTACAAATGGGCTTTTTTTCAAAAACACCAGCACCCCGAGGTTTGATATGACCTCTGCGGTTGCAAACCCTCGTAAAGAACGAAAAAAGCCATTTCGATTTTGCTGGTTTGATCACCTTAACAAATTTCATGCCCCAGTTATTAATACTCTCCTCCGCTGTGCTCATAGAGTGAGGTAATACCGATTGTGGCCTGACAAACGCAGTATTAGAGCCTTCTTTGGCCAGGCCATCCGCCTCTTCATTGCTGTAGTGTCCTTTATGTGCTGGTATCCAAATAAGAGTTACCTTGTTCTCAAACCTGGAAGAGATCCTGTTAATAAGATCTACAGTTTCCTCCACCAGTTTTGAGGTTGACAAATCTTTTTGTTGAACAAGGTAACTCTTATTCAGCACTCCTTCAGCTACTTTATGCGTTTATCCCAGGTAAGTTTCCTATCCAAGATGTGTGACAATTTTTTATTGTTCCATGAGATGGTTTGGTTGTTAGTCAACTTGGGGGGGGGGGGGTCCTGAGTAAAACGTAAAAAAAATGTTTGCTTCAGGTTTTCCATTTTTCCATGTAAGATTCAATTTCTGTGAGCCCATTCTGCACATGTCCTTAGCTGCCTCTATATTATCATCCTTGGCGTATATTACAGTGTCATCAGCAACTTGCATCACTGTCATAGATATTAAAAAAGTAGGTGAAAAGACAGTTCCCTGAGGAGAGTGCCCACTTTAATTTGCTTTGTCACTGAGGTATGCTCATTAATTTTAACAAAGAATGACCTGCTGTCTTGAGATGAAGGCAAGAAATGATTCATCAGACTGAAATAAATCTAGACGCAAGTTTTCACACAGACACTTCTGCGTACCTCTACAAGCCACCATATTAACTCAAAACTTGACTGGAACTGCTTTTATACTCTTGGAGGGATCATCAAATTGCCTGAGAGGAAAGTGACCCTGAGGTCATGACGGAATTACAGGCAACGAGACAGCTAATATACTAAACAATTCATAGGCCCAAATCCATATTGTGGCAAAAACTACAGCCATGTTAAAAAAGAACTGGAAGTTTGTGCAACTAAAGAACAACCAATAATGGGAGTATAAATGATGCTAACTACATTTCATACACTCTGTCTACATGTGCATGATGATGCTCATTAACCTTGTTGGGACTCATGACAAGTTATCTCGTTCTGGCTTGAAGGCTTCCCAGACCTTGTGACAAGTTATCTCACATTCGTGTTTTTTTTTGCGTGATAAAAGCTCTAGCTGGACATAGCATCTATTGGACTGAGTTGAATCCGATGTGTAACAGACACCTAGTAAATGGACACACCCATTGCCCATTCTCATCATCAATGAAACTTTTCTCCTCCTGCTGTTAAGAATCGGCCTCTTTCTTAAAACTTGCAAATCAAAATCCCAAGAGTGGTGTCCGTTTATGAGAAGTTCAACATATGTTATCAATTATACTGGACTAGTTTCGATGTATCATCAATATATAACCACATTTTGGTTTAAGATTTTAAATTTGCTTGTATTTCAAGGTGGAATCAAAAAAACGGCTCGGCCACAGTGGAGGCGAGGGGATTGAACCGAGTGTGAGACCCCCATCTGCTCCGTTGCTCGATATGGACCAGAAGCCTGCTGTGAACCATTGGGGCCCTGCAGTGGGACGCCACAGCAACCCGCCAATAGCCCCTCAGCAAAGGACGCTCAGCATGCCTCAGCTGCCTCCTGCCGAGCCGACACTCGGCATACCAGTCAAACCGCCGCTTTACGGCCCGCCAAAACCCCCAAGGTCAATTTCAAATTTTATCTGTATAGAATAGCTGCAATAATATTTGCTTGAACTGTTATTAATCAATCGCCCTTTGTTAATTTCATGATTTCAGTCTTTTGCGAGTAATGTAAGGTGGGAACTGAGTACTTAGCAGTTCTAGTTGTAATAGTGTTTTAATACTCTCCCTTATATTTCATTAAGATCATTAATCTATTTCTGCTACACGATAATTTTTTCCTAATTTATTGTGAGATTTGAGACCCAAAAGATTGCCTTGACTAAAATTTTTTAATTGACTATTTTTTTTTAGTCAGCTGTGATTGTTTTGGTAATAAAAGAATTTTTCAGTTTTTCTCTTGAGAAAAATAATTCAATGTTTACTTCAATAAATATTTGTAGAACTGCCGTGGGGCTTGACAGAGGCATGGATAAGTCCGAAATCAGATCAGCCCTCCAGAATTGGCAGTTAGGGATGATGTTGGAAGAGGAAAAGAGATCTCCGGGCTATCCAGGACAAAATCAGAGGCCTAGGAGCATCGGAGATGGAAAACCTGCAGTCGTTGAACCTCAAGGTCATAAGAAACCAAATGCAAGGAGGCGAGAACCGAGGAGGCACACTCTTCAAAATGGTATAGATTATAACATGGTACGTTATCAAAATCGTTAATTTCAAAATTAGATGTTTACTTTATTATTCTAATTCCTTAGTTGAAACGCATGAAACAAATCGAACTGGAAAAAGACGTCTTAATGCAAGGGCTCGAAGCTGTGGATAGAGCCAGAGATTGGTATCTGAAGCAGATTTCTGCGGTTCAAGACAAAATGAAATATCTTGGAAGAATGGGACATTCTGTAAGAGCTTTCTGTTTTAATTATATTTTGTCATTATAGATTTCCCAATTTTTGTCAAACAGGAACAGTGGAGTGAGGCCCAAGAAGAGAGATTGGAATTGCAAAGGGCTCGGGTGCTAGAAGTGAACAGGCATTTGGCGACGTTGACCGATCCCGGTGAAAGGGGTGGCCTTCCTCTGCACATGAACCTCGCAGTAACCCCTCATTCGTCGCAATTTATATCAAAGCTCAAACAACAAAATCACCTCTTGACACAGGTAAATGTCTACTCTGGAAACTGACCCCTTAAAAATTATTTTTCCTACTAATGTTGCAGGATGTAAATAACAAGAGTGACAGGATAAAAGCTTTAGAGAGAGAAAAAGCATCATTGATAAGGGAATTGTTCCACATCAGGGGTCAAGGCAGGCCAGGCGCCCCTCCACAGGAACCTAATGCATTCTTATGAAATCAAGGCATTTTTTTTATTTTAAAGTCTAAATAGAAAATAACAGTCGCTTTTAATAACATTTGTAATTTGTATTATAACAACTATTTATTAAGTTATAACTTTTTAAAATGTACTTAAAACTTAATTTTATTGAGCAAACATTTTATTAAACAAATAATTCACATTAAAATTGAATATATGCTGTTTAAAACAAAAACACCATTGGGAGTAATGGCTAATATGAAAAATTGCTGAGTTTTATTTTTGTATTATGGTGATTTTATTTGTTTAACAATTTATGTTACCAAGAACTCAAAAATCTGTGGCCATATTATATATATTTTAATATTATTGTATTGTATGAAATGATTGAATAACAGTGAACACTGAAACACTTAAAAATGCTTATTTTTAGTTTAAATTACAATTAGTGCAATTTAAAAAAAAATTTATATCCTGACACTTCCGTCCATCATATTGAAATTCAGTAATTTTATATAATATTGTAGTTATATTATTTTCTATTTAAGTGTGAAAATACAATTTTTCATGCGAATAAATATATTTTATACTTATTTTCCTAATCTTATTCTTTACTTCTCATATCAATTCTTACTTGTATGTAACCTTTAGTTTGTATCATTTAGGGCTTATGTGATAGGTAGTATATATTATGTATTTAGGTACAAATGAATATATTACACGCAACTTTTTAAAGAGGACATTTAACAGTCTCAAAAGAAATGAAAGCAATATTCATGAAAATGCCTTACACTGCTTTTTTTTTTTTTTTAAAGTTAAGCACTTAAATTCTGATTTATTTTTAATTTGAGGTTTTGACCATATTTTTGTTTTACTGCTTTAAAAACGATTTAATAATTATAATTAGACAGAAAGTGTTTGTTTTTGTTGCTGATTGTGAGGCAAAACCGCTTAATGTCTAATTTGATTTAAAAGCCTCATTAAAAGAAAAAAATTACAATTACGATTACAAAAATGCCCATATTCAGCGAGCAAATTGCCCATGCATTGGACTCATTGAGGATGGAAAATCAGTGTTACTAGCGTGAGTTTTAAGTTTGCCTGAAACAACGGTACACCAGGTGGTACCGGGAGATTGCAAGGTGTATTCATACCAGGATCAGAATGCCCACTAGCCAAACAACGATTAATCATCAGGAAATCAGATAGCACACTGAGAAATTGCTTTTAAAAGTCTCAAAGTTCATTCGGAGGTTTCAGTTATTGTGTTCAGAAGAATTTCTTTTTAGGCAAACAAGGAGTTTTTAATAGAGGTCATCTCTTAATGAATAAATATAAGAACAGACACGCTCTGTTATTGGCAATTCTTGTTATGCAGTACCTTCGTGATGTCAATATTTGCACTGTAAATGATTGGTAAAATTGGTTTCAAAATCCCAGGTTTGAACCCCATTGAGAACTTTTAAAGTGAGCTCAACATTGGGTAAAACAAATAAACCTCATACGACCTTAGCCAAGCTGAAAGTTAAGTTATGCTAGTTAAGATTTGAGATGAAAATCCTAAAGTCGTGGTTAACGTCTTAATTATGAGCCTGCGAAAAGATTAATATGAAATAAAAGCAAGAAAAGGCTCTTATTAAAGAGTTTTGAGTTTGTTTTATAATATTTTATGTTCATAATTCAAGGTGGTTTTTTTTTCCCTTGAGACACACTAACCAAATAATTTATTATTACCTGAATTTTAAAAAATATGTGTAAATATTACTGAAAAGGCAAATATGTACTTATGTACATATAAAAAAAAATCAAAATTTCAAAGTGCGCCACTTTTGGAGCAGTGTAAATCATGGAAGAAAGATTTTTACAGTGTTTGTACAAATATTGTTTTTTTTCTTTTAAAGAAAAACATTGACACAACCCTCGGTTTATTATTGAGCAATTTGTTTTAAAACAGCGTAGTCAAGCATTTATTAACGGCTTCTGCTTTTGACATTTTATAGCCAATAAATATTTGAGAACTTGACATGTAAAATAAAACAATTACTACAATGCAGTGGTTTTAAAAATGTATAGCATTACAAAGAAATTCTATATTGTATACCACTTAAACTCTTTCAACTTTAAATTGATCAAAAAATATTTATTTTGAAAGATAAATGAAATGCGGCCTTTTCCAAGTGCTTTTACAAATTTAAATATTTTTCTTAAAATAAACTTACTGGTTTCAAATAATACTAACACTCTCTGATTGTTTTTGGCTAGTGAATCAATTGTGGAACATGTAAAATATTTTAAAACTATCTCTACACAGGGTAAAATCATGCTGGGCTCACCAGCCAGTCGAAGAGGGATTAGACTAATTAATACCTCTTTTATAAATTTCGGTGATGTGAAGAAGCGAATGACTTAGACATAAATTTGTTCGAAGGCGCATCGAAGTTCGATCTCGAGGTCCGATGGCTTTCAATATCACAAAGGAATGTAAGATAAATATCACAAAAAACTGTAAATGTTTGGCCCCGTCTGTGCTCTCTGCAACAACCATGTCACTCTCAAGCGTATAAATTGGACGATAGGCCAATAAGAGGCGATTAGATATCTCATATCACACAAAGAAAAAAGTTTAGTTTTAGAGCAGCAAAACGTTTATTTGCTTTTATTCGAGATCATTTTGACCGGTTTCCAGTCGATACCGTCATTGGGGAGTCGAGAGTATATGAAAGGTGAAATCCAAACAAGGTACCACCGTTCACCGAGGGCTTGTATCACGTTTTCTCTGACCGAACCGAGCTGATAGTCTTTGATACCATTGGCCCTTTCGTACACGACGAGGCCCTTCGTAGCACTCTGGACGTAGTACATCGAAATGGCTATGACGAAAATCATGCCGAGGATGGTTGTGACGCAGAGCACTCGATATATTTGCATGAGAGACATGTCTGAGCCAGAGAAGAATATAGCGAGTGGGAAAACCACCTTCATTATGCCGGACCAGGCGAAAGAAGTGGTGTTCCACAGGAATATGGCGTTATAGTAGGCGCAGTACAGGCCGGCCACTGAGAGGTAAAACAGAAATAGCAAGAAGTATCGGTGGTTGAGGTGGCCCACGCAGCACGCGGCGAAATTGCAGTGATGATCCCTTTTCAGGATGCACGTTTTGCAAATATGACAATGCCATGATCTCGGGGGCGTCAGCGTTTCACACACTTCGCAGTACTTCCAGTAAGGGCGAAAGTCCGAAGATAACATTTTCCCTTGGATGCTCGTGTCGGTCAAGTACAAGAACACGTAGTTGCCCATCACGTTAAACAGAAACCACGTCGACAGGACGCAGTGAAAGGCGTAGATGTAGATATTGTCTTCGTAGTGTTTCGGCAGGACCATAAACACCTCGAACCAGTACAGAATCTGAATGAGCGACGTTAATATAAATACAGAAACACCGTCTGACACCGACTGGGGCAGCAAGCGTTTTCTCAACTTCCCCATTCCCGGGTCCCAGCTTTTATCCTTATTCGAGAAGATCAGGATACTCGATTTGAACAATCGTCCTGTTGTTGTATTTTATCGGCACCACTACAGAGAGGTTACAATGAGGTTACACCACGATCAGACTCCCTAGCCGATTTCACCCGATCCCCCTTACAAATTATATTTTCCCGCATCAAAAATCCAATAAAAAATTCATTTATAGACAAAACACTTTAAATTTTGCATACAAGCGCCATAATACATCAGCTTACAAGCCGACTCAAACCACCCACATCAACACAAAATGGCAGCACTGAAATAGACTGACCAAAAAATTTCACCCAATTGATTTTTTTTCATTTTCTCGATAAAAGAAAATTCTGCCCTTAATTTGTCTCATTGTTTTTACCAAAAACTATTTGTTTATGCTACGTTTTAAATTGGGAATATCAATTAGAGGTAAATCCACTTAATCTTTAAAGAAAGACCAGGTTAAAAGATTTTTCAATGTTTACTTTGTACGGAATTTAAAATGTTTATTCAGTCTCATTTGAATTCTGAAGCAATAAACTGTTTAGTTTCAATTTTTAAATTTAAAAATGCCACTTAGTGCTGAGGATGTTGCGCGTGGTGTAGCTCTTATTGATGATGGACGTTCTATCAAGTATGCGTCTATTGCCATCGGAGTTCACTACGAAACACTACGAGATGCCGTTAGATGTTTTCGAGAAACTGGGTCCTACCATAAAAGGCCCGGTTCTGGCCCTAGGGTAACAGAACCACAAAATGATCGTTTTTTTTACTTTGAGAATTTTGCGAAACCGGCACCTTACTGTTCAACGATTCATCAGCACTAGGAAGTTCGAGGCGTCCAAATTTTTGAACGTACCGCTCGAAGAAGATTAAATCAGTTGTGGACTGATGGCTTTTTGCTCTGCAAGAGGGCCAGAATTGACCAGAACAGAGTTACACGGCTCGCATTTACTCGAGAACACAGCTATTGGTCTTTAGACAATTGGTCTGATGTACGTTTTACAGATGAATGTAGATTTGCTACGATCTCCCGATGGACATGGGAGATTGTGGAGAAGGCGAAATGAAAGGTACGAACCTTTTCAACGTAGCTCAGTGATGATGTGGGCGGGAATTTCAATGGAGAGTCGCACGGAGTTGGTTGTTGTTTGTAGAGGGTTTTTGACGGCCATTCGCTATGTGGATGAAATTTTGGAACATCGTGCGTTGCCTATAATCGATGAAATCGGCGACAATCCTATCTAACGGACAATAATGCTCGCTCCACATCTCGCTCGCAAAGTTTGTACTACAAACGTACCTTCAACAGCATAACATGGCCAGCCCGGTCTCCAGACTTGAACCCCATTGAACATTTATGGAATAACCTCAAAATACGAATAAGAGCAAGACTATCACTTCCTGATATATACTCTCGCCAAGAATAGGCTAACCTCCAGCAAAGAGACATTTGTAGACTGGTAAAAAGTATGCCGAGGGACTACTACTTTTTCTTGAGATTCTACACTCGAAAATATATTCTAAAATAAACAGTTATTTTAAAGTTTAATTTGTTTCAAATATTTCTTTTTAAATAGCATAACATAGTTTATAATGTTTTTTAAAATTATATTTATTATTTTACATAGTTACATCTGTACCATTAAATTTGTTGAAATCGTGAGGAGCGGTCGAGAATGAGGTAGTTTAGAAAACCACTTTTTTCATTATTTTGCCGACGTTTCGACCTTTATTCGGGTCATCTTCAGGGCCTGGGTAAATTACAAAACATATGTTGATTGGAAAAAATACAATTTCAGACCACCCTATCACAATCATATAAAAACAGCTGAATACAAATTCACGTTTCACAACGTCATTCACACAAAATCAAAATGTGGCACCACAAGAATAGCACCACGCTTTATGTGAGTACCTATTAAATATTTGAATCAAAATTTATATTTACATCTTAAATTGTATTTTTTCCATCCTACATACGGTTTGTAATTAATTAACCCAGGCTCTGAAGATGACCGGAATAAAGGTCATACGTCGGTAAAAAAATAAAAAAGGTGTTTTTCTAAACTACCTAGTTCTTGACCGCTCCTCACGACTTCAACAAATTGTGGAACAAATTTTTAATAAGATGAAATTTCGTTTTAACGCCCCTAACATTCATTTTTGGTTGAATATAAATTTCTAGATTTTCTGACCCCTAAAATCTTTCCGAGTTTTGAGAAGTTATTGGAATATCTGATGGAACCGGCTATAATTAAAAAACGGCTGAAACTATTTAGAGGAAGGTAGCTTATTAACGACTTATGAAGCATGAAAATATCAAAATATTTCTATAAGAAAATACACAAAATAGCAAAATTATTTGTCAGAAATTAACCCCGGTTTTTTTAAATGAAAATAATAGTCTGTTTTTAATATTTGATACAATTATAAAATGCACTTGACAATTTTTTTAAAACGAATTATCAACATGAAAATCGGTCCATTTGCAGGCTTGCTCTAGGAACGCTAGACACCTAGAATTGAAATTATCGGTCAAAAAAATTAATCTACACAGATTTACGCGAAAGTCGGTATCTAGAATCACGACAATGAGATCAAATCCAAGTTTTGACCATTTTCTGAAGAATTGCGCATGATGTTTTTTTAATTTTGGATATATATAATATTACTTAATTGCACTAATCAACGTCAAAATTACCTCTGGCCTTTGCTTGCTAGCAAACCTAAGGAGTCTTTGTTGACAAGTGAGAATAAGTAAATTCAAAACAAATACACCAACTTTTCCAGTAATAACGTGTTCATTATAAATAGACTTAAGAGAATTCTTAATAAATTAATTTAATCGGGTTAATGAAGCTTTTTTCACGTTCTAAATTTAGTAGCAATTAAATGAGCATAAATCGTTATTTAGAGATTAAAAAAGTATTATTTTTGGTGTAATAATTTCATTGTTGGTTAACATAAAAACAGTAATGTTCTACGAGGCGGAATATTCTAATTTGGTATGTTTTAAAAAGATAAGTCAACAAAATACTGCTATGTTCATATTTTAAGAAACATTCTGTAAGCAAAGTAGAAAATGGTCAACTCTTGGATTTGACCTCATTGTCGTGATTCTACAGTTATAAAACTCTTAGAACCGATATTCGTGGAAATCGGTGTACATTAATTTTTTTTAAATTAAAATAAATTTCGACGCCCTTCCATGACTGACATTCCTAGTGCAAGCTCTAACTCATTTTACTTAAAACTTAGCGGACCGTTTTTCACGGTTGATAATTCATTTTAAAGAAATCAAGTGCATTTTTGAACTAGATCCTACATTAAAATCGGACTATTATTTCCATAAAAAAAAAGAAAAAGAAAAAAAAGACAAATAATTTTTTGTTATGTATATTTTAATGGTATATTTCGAATTATAAACATCAACTCCATCCAATCCAACTTGGGACAAGTGAATTGGTTCGAGCCTTCTCATTCTCCATATGCGAAGAAATTTTGATATAGCATGGGGAGTCTGTAGAGAGGCGCGCCAACTTGTTCTGCATAATTGCATGCATGATGCTTACTATGGTCGACTAATTTTTTGTCAGAATGCAAGTGGTAGTCTCCTGATCTAATAGGAATTACAATTTAATTAGGACAAATAACTATTGTATGTCCTTCGCATATGGAAGATATAAGTTGATGATACAAGTTTTCTTATTAAGTATCAGCCCGAAATATTTTCTTGTAAGGGACACGTTTTTCCCAATTGGCAAATGTAATCGCAGGCTTTTCTTTTTTACCAAATGATAAACAATTTTTTCGCTTAGAAAATATATTTACAACTTCTGCCACATTCGAAACTGTGACACCTACGATTGACGGATCCGGACAAATCAAGTTTGAACTGTGCATTGTTCCGATTTGCATAATTATGCAGTTAGGCCGTCTCCGATTTTTGGTCTGTCCACCCTCGCTGTTTTGATCTGTCAGTCGATTTTTGCAATTTTCAGTTGTGGGATTTGGTTTGTCTCTATAGAACAAAACGTCGTTTTTATGGGTATTATCTTACTTACGAGAAAGAAGGAATATTGGGCGACACGAGAGTGTATTTTTACGAAGCACTAAGACATTCATGAAACGCGTTTATCTAAAAATATTGCTTTTGTTTAGGTTTGCTCCGTGATAAAACTGTGCTTTGGTCTCCGATCATCCTGATTTGTATGCTCTAAGACGTGTTTAGTCATCTTCAGGGCCTTGACTGAACAGAAGCAGTTATAAAAGGTTTCAAAAGATATATTTAATTTTTGATTTGACTAAAGTATATAAAAATATGAATCCAGTGAGTCTAGGCAGGTCAGGAAAGGAGACGACCAAGTACATAATAAGGTTACGGCTAAGTACTATTTATTATTGAGAATTTGTAAGTAAAATAAATTTCATTTTTTACTGAAGATTCTTTGTTTAAATATTTAGAAAACATCATGAATTCATTCGGAAATAAAAACAGATATGTTATCAACGTTTCAATCATTTGAATGAATTAGCTCAATTGGCCTTCAGATTTTCTTAATCACGTGCTCATTGTTAACTATACGTTTTAACGTAATTTTCTTAGGAAGTGCTAATTTTTAATTGTGATATGGCACGAACGGCCTGCATTTGGAGCAAGGGTGGTGATAATGGGATGATTATAAACATTCCACCGCGTTGATGTACAATTGATGAATAAGAAAGTCGGACAAGGACTCCTACTGTGGACAATAACTAACTACGAAACTTGAACCAAGAAATCCAATTAAAACACGCATAAATTTTCGCAGGACTTGAAATGCCTTCAAGAGCGAAAACGGCCCTGTATGATGAACTATTTATTTAGGCAAAAGAAAATGCAGTCACAACCATTTCACACTTTTAAAACCTGTAAAAGGACTGAATAACACTTAACTTGCACAACTTTAGCTATAGAAGTGGCATTGGAGTCGTCACCGTTGCAACATCCACATGATGGCACATGAAAGTGCAAACGGTTCTTAGGACAAAATTGAATAAAGTTTGACCTTTGATACACTACCATAAAATCTTTAAGAGCATAAAAATAAATCAAATTGTTACAACAGTGTCTGACACA